GAAGGTAGCAATGATCAGAAAACTAACAATCAGATGGACTTGATAGACCTTTCTACAGGACGATGTCTTTATAACTAGTAAAGCATATATCAGCAGAACACCCCCTACAGCTTTCATCAGGACAGTGTATAAATACTCATTTTACTGGCAAGATAATATCATCAGCCTTTTCAACAAATTCATCAAACAGATATTTGAGCACGATAACTGGAATTAAGAATATCACAAGGAAAACCGAGGTGGACTACATAAGAATATCACTTTCCATGCATGTTGACTTGTACATTTCAAGTAGAGCATATAGTTCGCTGGCTATACATAAAAATACAATGTGAAATAAAAGCCAAAATGAGTGTGCAAGACTTACCTTGATAGGGAACTCTTCGTGGACGAAGGAACAATTATGTCCCTTAAGATATCATATTCTTTAGAGAGACCGCCTAACTTTGAGATTTCACATCCTACGCTTTCTCCTTCATCGTCTTCGTCAAACTGCAGACCTTGCACAGATGTTTTCTCTCGAATTTCAGATGCTACGTCCAGTGTATGATAGAGGTATACTTTAGTTTCCTGGTTTATCATAAATGCATGGCTTCTATTGGAGGTATCAGAAGGCTTTTTATTAACCCTTTTGACACAGAACATACAGATCTCTGAGAGAATTGGCACAGCAACAAAATTCCCATATAGCATGCTACAAGGGTATAGCCATGAAGTTGCACAAATCTGCAAAAGTTTCTTTGAACTTTCATTGCTCAAAACCTCTCGTAGATCAATCGAACTTTCAGATGAGAATCGCTGCTTGGCACTGAAAAAAGAATCTTCTATGCCTCGAGAAGAAGGAGAATTGGGGCGATGAGAACTAAGCTTTTGCAAGTTTGATGGTGTCTTAGGGGTTGAATGCCCATTTCCATTCTGCTCGTGAGAACTTTCAAGTGAAAACTTCTCAATAGAAAGACAATCTTTTTTAACTTGTAACATATTCTTGAAGGGAGTCAACTCCAAACACAACTCTTTGCAGGCAACCATCGAAAGATTATCAACAACATTACCGTGAAATCCAACATTCCCGTTGCATTGATCGCTTAAAGAAGGTCCACTAACAGGATAAACAAAAACAGTCCTGCCTAATACAGGGCAACCAAGCCCATAGCAAAGATTTGACGAAATACGAACAACATCTTTCAAAACCTGCAAACAATGCAAGAGTTTAGGTTAACATACAATGTTCTTAGAAGAATTTCCAAACAAGAAAGAGATCAGAACTCAAAGTAAGCTGCAAGACAGATTCTGCAAAACCTTTGAAGAAGAGAAAACGGTGGCAAGAACAAAATAGTGCCCTGGTTCATCATCAATGGTGCTACTCTCGCATTCAACTCCATATTCAGCTTTTATCGAGCTGAGTGCGAAGCTATTCGAAAACCTACCTTCTAGAGAAGCCAATGATACCTATTCACAGTTTACAGAATTTCCAAAATCAGAATTCCAAAGCATTGAGTATAAATTTGGTATGAACAGCACAAAGCAGAGGAAGCTTCTTCAATTTACCGAAACAGTAGAACCAGGGCTGAGAGAAGCAGCGACCATCGAATTTTCCGATAACCAAATCTTACAGCCTCTGATAGACTCAGATGCAACATCAGCTACTCTTCCGATTAATGCATATTTTCCGATAAGAGAAGGAAACGCGGCGGAAGCTTCTTCAATACTGCGCCTGAGTTCCTCTTCGTTGATAGAATCTGTATCTCGACCCGTTGTTGAAGACGCCGGAGTTCTTGGCGACTCAGGCGGTTCCCCATTTGATAAACGTGATGGTGTCCTCGACTGCTTCTTCTTCGAAGGCATCGATATATTGTTTCTCCGTGAGTGTATATACAGAGAGAGACCACCGGCGATCGTCGCCGGAGATAAGAGAGCGAAAAGCAAAACCTTCAATTTCACAAACTTTAGGGTTTAATTGCAGCGATTTTGGTTTTTTGGGTCATTAACCAATCAAAGCCCTTTCTTTTGCTGAATGAGCCCAAGCCCAAATATATGAAAACATTTTTATAGTTGCAGCCAAAGTGTTCGATAAAATGTCTACTGTTCTAATTGTACAAGGAAAAATTAGTTCTGGTCATGAACTTGAAATGTAAAGTCCCAATTATCTTCACTTTTTGGTTCGAATGGAATTAAAGTGACTCACATCATGGAGTAAAAAGGTTGATAGATAAACTTGGAAATTCATAAAAGATAGATGATAACACTTTTAGTGAACAAACACAAGCACTTAATTGTACCAAAAATGATTTAATAGTTGTCTCTTAAATCACTCTCTTTTAAGATGGGATATTTCCTGAATATTTCCCTCTTGAGACCTGGAAGATGAACATTGATAATGTAATCCTCCCAATCAATGCACTTGCCATCAAACTCAAACATCTTTCTCTCTTCCATTGACATCTCCTGAAACAGACTCCTTGTATTCGTATCGTCAAACCTGGTATAATATTTACTATAGGTCAGTATTCTGATACCGCTTGATAAAGGAAGAAAAGTTCCAAGTTATATACCGAGTTTGAAAGAACAGGTAAGACTGATATGTTGTTGCTAAGGACACAAAATAGTTTAGCTTCCTCATCCCTTTGATGCTCAATGTGGTATGTGACTCTACTTCTCCTTCTTCTCCATTGTGCATCTGTCTTTCTTGTTTTGCTATAGTCTTGGATACAGAGAAAATGAAACTCTCTAAGGAACTGTGGAATTTCATACGCTCTAAGTCTTTCGATGTTTCTCTCAATGGAGATTCACAAAGATACTGATGAGACAAGTCCATCAACTCGCGAAACCGTAGAGGATTCGGATTAGATGTTGAACTGACATTGTAAAGATTGAGGTCCGAGACACCAGAACCGTGCTTTGCCATGGCTGCTATTGTCGCGTTCACTACCATATCAACAGGTATAACATCACAAGTAGATTGAGAATCTCCCAATAAGTCAGGAATCTTGTCTTTTCCATTGGACAAGATTAATGGAGCAGTCATCCTAAAACAAAACCAAATAAAAAATGGGAATTGAAACAAGAAGATAATCTAAGTCATTTTGTCTTTGAATAAGGAAAGATCTTTAACCTTATTCCTTGGAGCCAACCAGGGAAAGGCTCCTTGTAAGAGCTTTCCATACAACTAGGCCTTATGATCACTACGGGAAGATCGCCTCGGTTGCTATGAATTACAGATTCACCCATGGCTTTTGTGAATGTGTAAGGATTTTCCCATCCATAGCTTTGAGCTCTAGTTTCTCATCAAACAGTTTCAGATTATGGTACACAAGAATGTGAAGAAAGTAATTTTTTTCTTATTTTATCATCATCACCTTTGGATACCAAGTTCTTTAAGTTTCTTAGATTGTTGACTGCCATGGAACTTTCTTACAGCTTCTGAAGCTAGTTTCATCTCGGACTCGATGTTTAAGTCAGAAGGCATGTTCTCTCCAATACAGAGAGGAGTCTCTAATACTGTTCCCTCTTTCTTACCAGTCACGTAAGCTATATAACAAATGAAAAAGTTCAGTTTTGTTTTTTCTGAAACTTCTCTGTAAAAATCTGAAAAGAAATCATACCAGTTGAAATATGGAGGAAAAGTTTCAGTTTCTTGCATTGTCTTCCAAAGCTCAAGAGCCTATTAGTTCCAAGAACATTGACATTTAGGGCATAGTCGTATCTGTTTCAATCAAATTATAACAATTAGTTTGCAAGGAATAAAAAACAGAGGAAGAAGAAACAGAGGAAACACCTGTCGTTAAAAGTTGTACGACCAGCACTATTGATAATAACATCAACTTCCTCAGTAATCTTGTCTAATGTTTCAGATTCGATCCCGAGATTGTCTTCTCCAATGTTTCCAATTACTGGAATCAACTTGCTCTTCATGAAATTTTCGTAAGAGCTTTCGTGTGTTTGCTTCAGAAGCTTGAACAGATCCGAGCTAATGATCTATTATGGAACAAAAGTGATAAGAAAAGAAAAAGAAAGAATAAGCGTTAGTTCCTAGAAAATAGTCATAATTCCCAACTTATTTTGACTCTATAAAAACGATTTTGAAAATAGGTTTCTGAATCGTCCCTCCTGAACAAACCCTGCAACAATGGTTACTTAGAATGGAAATGTTTTAACAGAACCTCGTCAAAGAGTCTCTGGTTGGCTGATTCTTGATCTTTGGAATTCATCAGAAGGAAGATCTTCCCAATATCAGGACTTGCCCTCAACAATTTCTCAATCAGCACTACAACAAACAAATTTTTCAATCCGAAAAAATCAGGTTACTCGAACAAGAAGAAAACTTTAGGTTTAGGTTTAGGTTTTTGATAGGAAGGAGAGGAAGCTGACGTGGAAGAAGGATTAAGAGTTGGAGAAAACTCTGGTTCAAAAAGAGTCTTTGTTGTATAGGTCTTATAAATAGAAAGAGATTGTATTGAGTTTCTTTATGCTAGTTTTGGCTAAGGATCCAGATTCGATGAATCTGTGGATTTGGGTAGCTCGAGCTTGAGAAGCGAGAGCTAAGTTCTGTAATTCTTGTGTCTTTTGTTCAATAAAGAGTTAGGGTCTTATCAGTTTTTTTCTTACCTTTACCAAGAAACCCTGTTGCACCGGTAATGAAATAGCTCTTCCCTTTCAAGAAACGAACGATTCCAAGTCCGGTACTGTCGCTACTTGTTTCTGTCACAGGCATCGTTAACGGTGTCACAGCTTTCAACCACGTCTCACGGTAACAACAACTAGTAACTTGGACTCTACGTTTTGTATGTGACAAACGACGAGACAAGAAGTGGTTTGTTTTGCCGGAGAAAGAGGAGAAGAAACTGGTTGTGTCCAATTTGACGACGTTGCTGGTGGCTAAGAGAGTAGTGATTGCCATTTTTAGTTACCAACGAAATATTTGGAGAGTCTTTTGTGAGAGGATATTATTGAGCAATATATTTCTTTGTGTATCTCTAGTTTTCTTTCATCTCTGTATAGATAAGAAACTCTCATACTTGCAATTCACATGCAATCTTATCAATATCCTCTATATACTAATTGAGAAGACATTTGATAAAAAATCTTATTTGTCACTCAATGAGAGTTTTAAGAGACATATAATTTAAAATAACCAATGAGAACATTTTAATTAAAACCATAAGCCATGGTAAAAATCTCTATATATTCTTATTAATTTTATAACATAACCTCATTAATACATGTTTTACAAATCTAAATCCAATTAAATGTAATATTTAGACTTACCATATCATCTATTTTTAATATTTTCTGATATATTAAAAACCTTTTTATTATTATATTTATAACAATATTATTTATTGTGCATATATGTATTTAAATTAGTATACTATACAAATATTTTAATTATGATGTTGTCTATTATACATATATAGCTACATTTACAAATATTTAAAATTTTCATTATTAGAAAAAATATTTTTTTTTGTTATGTCCGACAAATTCATATAAATCTAAAATTTATTTGATTTATCGCATACTCTATAATTTACACGAATAATAGAAACCAATTTTACACTTAAAATATATTGAAATAAATAACATTTTCATATGTTTTGATCAATTGTGCATATATAAATATTAAAACTAATGACAGCAAAATATCATTATCAAAATTTAACTT